ACCCAAGTCCAACCTCCCCCCCCCCCTTGCTTCCCATTTGTCTTGCCATCCTTCCTCCCATCTAGGTGGTCGCTGGCCAGGCAGAGGAGCGCCTTCGCATTGCCTGCAGGCAACAGGCTGGGGGCGTGTTTCCACGGCATAGACGGCAACAGCGCGGCAGTGCTGTGCACCCGAGCGGAGATGGCTCGACTAGACACCAGCGGTGGTCGTCAGACTGGGTGTACCGATGGGGCAGGCGACCACGGTAGGGGGGAGGGGTGGCGCTGGAAAAGGTGTAGAATAAGCGAATCGACAACGAGGAATTGACCTATAGGCGGATGGGTCGTGTTAAAATTTACTGGAGCTGGTTGGTTGTGTACATTTTAAACTACATAGTCCCAAAAGCATAGCCATGTTGTAAGAGATGATGTCACAGCAAGTAAACTGGTTCACCTTCTTGGGCGTTGATCGTTCACGAGTGAAACATTGTGGCCATGTTCACAAAGCACATTCGACCATGTGGGAGCGAACTGGTTTGAATTACATCAATGAACACATGGCAGTAGCTGCAATGTTTGTGATGAGCGCCGTTATGTGACATGATGTGACATGATCGTTTCTTGGTCCAAAAAAAAAAAAAAAGGCTGAGGAGGGAGGATGAAATAGGAGCTTGCTTTTGTTTGCGCAACAGTCCACAGGAACGCTTGGGACACACATCATTGCGCCGCTTGATTCAGGTAGTCAATTGTGTAATTGTGTCAGAATGATGTCAAGGACACAGGAACAAGTGCACGGATGACAGGCACGAGAACACAGGACAAGAACACACACACACACACACACACACACACATGGGAGAAGCCAGCTTCCCACAGAGGGCACACAGGCATGTCAGGCAGCTACGCACAAGCAAGGAATGGAACAGAGAGCTGATATCTTCCCACCCCAAGGTCAAGTCAAAAAACCAAACAAAAACAAACGCAAACAACGTACACAAGAGCATGTTTTGAATCACGCCACAACACACAGACACATCACGGACGGCCAGGCTATGGCTGAGGCGGGATTCAGCTACGCATCAATCACACAGAAAGCTATCGTGGTCAACCATCAGCAAAACGCGGTCAAAAATAAACACACACACATAGGCACAGACAGACAGACAGACAGACAAACAAACACACACACACACACACACACAACATTGCTGCGTCATCGTCGTGTGGAGAAGCCTCTGCTTCGTATTGGGGGCGGTTTCTTCTTTGGCCGCAGCCCGCTCCCAACGCCACCGCTGCGCTGGCCCGTGTGCTTCGTCGCGGGGCCAAGCTCAATCTTGCGGATGCCCTCACCAAACGAAAGCGTGCAGTGCGTCTCCTGTATGTTCTGCTCGAGCGGGCTGACGTTGATGAACACACACGTCTTCGAGTCGCCGCCGAGCGAGTCCTGCAGCACGTGTGTCAGCTTCGAGTTGCGATACGGCACGTGCGGAGAGTTGGTGGCCAGCGACTTGAACACATGCGCGAGCGCAGACAGGGACTTGTTGATGGCTGCAGCCTCCACCAACCGCTCGCCACTCGCCTCCGTCTTGGACACGCGCTCAGACCCGGCAAGATCAACCAGCGTCAGCTTTCCCACGGTGGTGGTGTTGGAGATGGTGTTGTACCCAGTCACCCGCAGCTGAAGGAGGAGGTGGGAGCGCGATGAGTCTGTGTTCATCTTCGTCGCGGCCATCGATCGGTTCTTGTCACCCATCGCCATAATCTTCTCAATCTCACCCTGAGACTTCACCTCCTTCTCCGTCAAATTGCCGACGTAAATGCCCTGGCGTGGCGGCAGTGTGATGTGACGTGGTGTGTGATTGTGTGTGTGATTGTGTGTGTGATTGTGTGTGTGTGTATATAATGCGTGTGTGATGGGTGTTATGTTTGTGATATGTGTGTGTGTGCGTGAGTGAGTGAGTGAGTGAGTGTGTGCGTGAGTGAGTGAGAGTGTGTGTGCGTGTGTGCGTGTGTGCGTGTGTTCAATGTGAGAGCACGTGCCGTGATCGTGCTCATGCGGATGGGTGCAAGGCGCGAAGAGGTGCAACAAGTGTCCGAAACGGATACAAAGAACGCTGTCCAAGCATTCAAATGCATGTTCATCTCCTTATTCTGTTTACCTGTGGGCTGGCGTGGATGCTGAGGCTCTGACCACGTGTTGGTGTGAGCAGGTCATACAGCTTCTCGTTGTACACCTTGGAGTGGTGATGACGACGGGGGAAAGGTGCACACGTGTGCGCATGTGAGCTGTTTTGGAGGTGGCGGCAGCTGCGGCGTCAAGAGATTGTGGACGACGATGGATGGATTGAAGCAAGAACAGCACACCATGCACCCAAATCCTGCACACGCACAAAGACAGACAGACAGACAGACAGACGGACAGACAGACGGACAGACAGACAGACAGACAGACAGACAGACACACCCACGGAATGCACGGCACCTCCATGAGCGAGACTGAGATTGAGTAGTCGACCTCCTCCCTGGCCTGGCAGAGCTCAAACAGTTGCTGCACAGCACGCCGGTTCACGCCCGGATTCGATGGCGGGCCCATCATCGTGTACGTCTTGCCAGAGCCTGATGGCATTGGCAGTGGTGACCATGCATTGTCACGGTGGATGGCAGTTGGCGGCGCGGGACATGGTGGTGAGACAACAGTGGTGAACGAAGGCAGGGCAACCGCAAATGGCAGCCACTCAGCAAACACACACACGCACACACACACAGAGGCAGACAGACACATAGACACAGACACATAGACACACAAACAGACTCACGCACACACGCAGACACAGACACACACACACACACACACACCAACACACGCACACACTCGCACACACACGCACACCTGTCTGGCCGTATGCCATGATGCAGACGTTGTAACCGTCGATGCACGACATGATCACCGGCTTGGTGTCGTTGAAGACGCGTTCTTGCGTGGTGTCTGGCGCATAGCACTGGTCAAACTCAAACGGCACGCTGCTGCCGTCCACCTTCCGCACAATGCACTCGCCCTCGTTGGGGAACTTGAAGATGCTGTCGCCACGGTTGTCCTTGCGCACGCGCAGAAACACGCGGATGTTTCCACGCAGCTCCTGCACTTTGTTGTACAGCAGCTTGCGTTCCATCTGCTCCTTGAGGTACTTGGCGCGCACGGCCTCTAAACGCGTGTGGATGTCGCGATGCAGGCGCCGCGATTGCGCAACCGTCAGCTCAAACATGCGCGTGAGCGACGCAACGCTGGCCTGCAGCTCAATCGCCGTCTCCTCCTTCTCCCGCTTCAGCTGCTGCACCTTGTGCTGCAGCTTGGTCAGCACGCGAACCGTCTCGGTCGAGTTGCTCGGGCTGCCCATGTGCCTCTGCAGCGTCTGGGTGCGCAAGCGAAGCGACACGTTCTCCGCCCGCAGCCTGTCAATCTCCGCGTCCTTCAGCTTGAGCGCCTTGTCTGCGTTGCCGGTCCTCAGCGCGGCCACCTCCTCCCGCAGCGCGGCGATGGTGTTGTGGTCCGCCTTGTACTTGATCACCTGTTCCTCAAGGTCGAGCGAGCGCGAGCGCCACTTTTCGCACTCCAACTGCAGGTCTCCCAGCTCCTCCTGCGCCTCCATCGCCTCGCGCTGGCGTCGGTCGGCCACCGTCTGCACACGCGTTTTCTCGCGCACCAGCTGCCGCACAGCCACGTCCTCCTCCACCACCTTGTCCGCCTGCAGCCGCTCCAGCTTATGCCGCTGCTCGGCAACAATCGCCTCCAGCTCGTCGATGCGTCGCGCCGCCGCCGCAGACAGCGACGCGCTGCTGCCGCCCTCGCGCGCACGCACACGCACCCCGCGGCCTGCACGGGTTGGCGGTGGTGGTGATGATGGCAAAGTGAGTGGGTGGTCGCTGTTGTGTGAGTCGCTCTCCAAAGCACGAGAACAAGAACAAGAACAAGAACAACAACAGCACAAGGAACAACAAGAACAAGAACAAGAACAAGAACAAGAACAAGAACAAGAACAACAACGCACGTGCGGAAGCAACGATGCTGCCTGAGCGAATGAGTTCGGCCGGGGAGAACTGTGAGAGGTCTGAGCGGCCAGTGAAGTTCCAGTTGATGTCCGCAAATGCAATCGCTTCGTTGAGGTCGTAGTTGCACTCCCGCAGCACAAGCAGCTGCTCGTTGATGCTCGTCCTGCGTCGTGCGCAGGGAACGCGCAAACGGACACGTGTGAGGGTGTATGAGACAGAGAGAGAAGGGAGGGAAGTTGGGCGTATGAATTCACACCAACAGTGTCAGGCACAAGACAACAGGAAAAGACAGGGAAAGGCCACGGCAACATCGCAACCGCACAGACACACAGACACAGACACACAGACAGACAGACACAGACAGACACAGAGACACAGACACACAGACACACACACACGCACACACACACATGCACACCGCACCACTCTGGGAAGAGCTTTTGCAGCTCGTTGAGTTGGCGTTTGACGTCGGGGATGCAGCGTTCCCACACGAGCGGAATTCGGTGCCACTCTCCACTCTCCTGGTCCATGTACAAATACGTGTTTCGCGTGTTTTCCATCAGATACAGGTACATGTGTCCGTGCGTGGGGTGGTCGAATTCGCCAAAGCGCGGGTCGTTTGCAATCTCCCCTGCAGGGTCTGATGTTGACGACACAACATACGCCAGCCACTCTTGTGGGAACGGGCGCCATTCCTATCATCCCCCGGGGGTGCATGTGTGTGTGTGTGTGTGCATGTGTGTGTGTGTGTGTGTGTTGTGTAAGAAGGAGACGGGTATGACGTGTGGCAGTGGCTTTGACACGGACATGTATTCATGCAAATGTACACAATCAGGTACATGCACACATATATGAAGGCGCGAATTGTGGATACCTGCGCCTCCCAGTCCATGTACACGCGGCCTTGCTCGGTCTGGTACGTTGTGATCTCGCTCCCATCCGAGAGTGTAATGTATTCAAAGGTGACCTGCGGTGACAAAGACACGTGGATGTGAGGCAAACATGGATGGGCAAGTAGGGACGAGGAAGCGCGAGAGGAAACCTGTAGTCGCGACAAATTCCCAATATGCAAAGACATGTCCATACACAACGGCGTGCACACACAGACACACAGACACACAGACACACACACACACACGCACCGTTTCCATCTGCGATGACTCGTCGAGCCCCTCTGGCACCTCCTGCTGCATCTCACCTGTGCTCTTGTTCATGTACATTGGCTGGAGCAAGACAGGTGCATGGAGGTGCAAGACGATGAGCACACACGCAAGCGCCAAGTCAGTCACACCGGACACACACACACACACACACACACACACACACACACGTGCACACACACACACACACACACACACACACACACACACACACACAAGCACACACACCCACACCCACACCGAACACACACACACACACACACACACACACACACACCCACGCATGCACGCGAAAGCCGCAATAAAACGCCGCGTGCCAAGCGAAACAAGAGCCATTGCCCTGTGTGTGCGTTTGCGCTAACGTACCGAACCATCAGTTCCTCCGTTGGTGATCTGGCATGGCACAACGTTTACCACAGAGAACGAAAAGATGTGTTGAACAATGACGCTCAATACGTAAGCAAGGCTGTTGCACACAGTTTCACGCACACATGCACGGGCAACAGCACAGACGCATGCATGCAGGCAGGCAGGCAGACAGAAACACACACACACACACACACACACACACGAGCAGAAAGAGACGCACACACACACACACACGCACACACGAATGGAAACACACATACGCACACACACACACACACACACACACACACACACACACACACACACACACACACGAGCAGAAGCACGCACCAGAAACCAGTCGTTTGCGGCGTCCTTGGTGGAGTGCCGCTGGACGAGTCGACACAGTGTTGGGATGTACTCCTCATAGCGAATGATGTCGTCATCCTCCAGCGATGACAGGGTCCGCAGGCGGTTGACGGTGTGCTTACTAATGTTGACCTTTGTGGTCTGCGACGATAGCGCATCCCACATGCGCCCCGCGCTCAGGTACCCCGTGTTGTCAAGGTCGGCCTCTTGAAAAATGCTCAGACACAGCTGCTGAAACCTGTGCTGCCATGCCTCCGCGTCCTTGGTGCTTTTCCTGTCCGCCCGTCGTTGCTGCTGCTTCTTGCTCTTCTTGTCCTTGCTTTTCTTCTGCTTGGCCTTGCCCTTGTTCTTATCCTTCTTGGATCGCTTGCGCCAGCTTCTCCTGCTGCCATCACCGTCAACCTTTGCGTCGTGCTGTGCTGGTGGTGGCGACTCCACCGCTTCCCGAAGTTGGGCTGCTTCCTCCGAGGCAGCTGCTTGCCGCAGCGCCTCTCTGTCAAAATTCGACCATGTGTCGAGGAGAGAGGTGTCCCCAAGCCCATCGTCACCACCACCACCACCACCGCCACTACCACCTTTTGTCCCTTTGTGCTGCTCGTGCTGATGGTGCTGCCGGGAATGGTCGTGACCGTTCACGCTCTGCGGGGTCATGGAGCTTTCGCGACTGGCCCGGCCTCTGTCTGACGCGGCAGACGCCGCTGTGCCCATCCTCCAGGCCCACGCTCCGGCCTCCAGCGGGCCAGAGTACCAAAAAGCAAGAGAGGAGAGGGGGTTGTTGCAAACTCACGCACAGACAGAACCGCACCCACACCAAAATGGAACCGTCAACGTACGTGTGTTTGTGTGGGTGTTTGGGTGTGTTCGTGTGCGTGTGCGTGTGTGTACGTGCGTGAGAGTAAGGGAGGGAGAGAGAGAGTAAGGGACACGAACTGAAAGCACCCCACGTGTGTGCCCCGCGTTCTGGTTGTCTTCGCCCCGATGTGACAGGAGTCTCAGCTGCCTCCGCACACGCACACTCCAAAGTCGTGGTGCTGAGGGTGGAAGACAACAACAACAGCAAAACCAAGGAGGGCGATGCGACGAGTGAGGAGGACGCGAACAAGGTCGAATCTTCTGGGAAATTTTCAACAAAATATCCATTGTTAAGGGTGACGTGCGTCGGTTTGTTTGGCGCACAACACGAAGCAAGCAAGAAGCAAAAGGTGAGGAAGAAGCAGCGGGTAGGCAACAAGAACAAGCAGCGGGAACAAGCAAAGCAAGCAACAAATACAGTCTTGTGTGCGTGTGTCGTGTGCATGCGTATGCTGTCACGACAAGACGAGTGCGTCATTAGCGGCAAGGAGAGAGAGAGAGAGGAGCCCTGCAAGCAAGCAAGGTGGGAAAGCTGTGTGAAGAAAGCAATCGCCACGGGAACGCCAACCTTGCACATAAAACAAAAAAATAAATGGGTTGGTGACCAGCAACAAGGAGCAGATCAAAACAAGAAGGGGAAAGCAAGTAACCAAAAAGCAGCAGCAAGTTGAGGGCTGCAAATGTAGGTGAGACAAAGGCAGGGGCACAAGCAAGAAAGAAAGCAAAAGGGGCCTGCAAAAGCGCTTAGAACAGTGTGTGAATGGTGCCCACACGCTCGGCAGCATCGGTGGTGTGGATCGGGGCGCTGGCAAAGGCCACCCCAGCACCGGCAGGTCCATCAGCAACAACAGCAAGCGACGCGCCAAAGCGCGAGTTGTGTTTCTGGCCCGCGTGCGCCGTGTATGTGGTGGTGACAGCGAGCGTGGCGGGATCAACAGCCAGCACGCGACCGGCCTCGTGGCTGTGGAACGGTGCACCCACGAGCGCAAGGGTTGAGTTCACTGCCTGCAGCGTCCAACCCAGGCCAGCAAAGTCGGCGTCACCGTGCAGCGTGGCCAGCGGGGCTGTGCGCGTGCCAACGGTGAGATCGCCATGAAGGCTGCCAAAGTCAAACGTCATCACAGCACCCGCCATGTCCTTGTCTGCGTTCTTCAGGGTCACCAGCTTCTTTCCCGCGCTCGACGCAGATACGAGCAGCAGCGTCTTGCCGTTGCCAGCAGCACCACCGCAACCAGCTCCACTGCCACGGCCACTGGGGGACACAATTGCTGCAGCCCAGCCAAACTTTGCGCGGTCGTCTGTACCCGCCAGCGTGAAGCGCACAGCACCTGTGGCCAGATCCATGGCAACGAGCTGGCCAACAGACCCAATGTCCGGGTTGTGGTAACCAGGGCTGGAAATGAGTGCAACCGCAGCCATTGACGACGAGGACGAGGACGACAACGGGCACGCACTGTTGCTGCTGCTGCTGCTGTTGTTGTTGTTGTTGTTGTTGCTCTTGCTGCTGCTGGTGTCGGCGGTTGCTGTGCTTGGAACACACGCCCAGGCAATGGAGCGACCAAACCAGGCGTAAGGGGAGTTGCCGTGCACAAGGAGGTCTGCGTCCTGCTCCAGGTCCAGGTGCCGTGGCCAGCTGGAGCGGGGCCGGAACACACCCACTGCCCCGCGGTGGAGTGTGTCGCCGTCGTCAGCGCCGTGATACGGTGCGCCCACAAGCAGCTGCCCGCCAGCCACGGTGGCATTGCTGTCGGTGGCGTTGCTGTTGCATGCAGGCACGACCGCCACCGCCAGGCCGAGGCTGGCCCAGCGCGTTGCGGTGGCGATGGTCGTTGTCGGCTCGGCTGCCGGCATCGTCTTGGCAGCGCGCGCAAGGAACACGTGCACGCGGCCCGTGTAGTTGCCGGCCACTTGCTTCAGGTCCTTCCCTTCGGCGGACGGCGCGCCAACCACGAGGTCAGCCAATCCATCACCGTTCACATCACCAATAGCGCACGCCGATCCAAACCGTGCATACCCGTCCGTGCCGTTGATGGTGTGCTGCAGCGTCAGGTCACCGCTGCCCGTGCGTGTGTACACGAGCACGGCGCCAATCTGGGGGCGGCCGTGGTCACCGACACCGGGCGCACCGACCACCACATCCTCAATGCCGTCGTTGTTCACGTCGCCCGTGCACATGGCTGTGCCCACATACGCGTTGGGCTGCTGCTCCGCTGCCGCTGTCGCCGTGGTCACAGCAGCCGCCGGGACGGTCGCTGGTGGTGAGGTCAATGTTGGTGTTGATGATGATGACGATGATGAGGATGAAGATGACGACGGAAGGGACGTGAAAGCAGCGTCGGTGGCGTGTGTCGGGTGCGGAAGCGTTGTGGTGTCGATGGGCGCATGCTTTGGGGCGCTGGCGAGCACGCGGTCAAACCACTGCACAATGTGATCGGAGACACCGCGACGCCGTGCCCGCCCCCTGACAAACGCGCGCATCCGCTGGCGAAGCAGGGAGCGGTGGGCTGCGGTGACGCGGGACGGGTGGTGACGCACGTGGACGCCGCGCGAGGTGTGCACAAGCTGCAGCGGTGGGGCTGGCCCCGAGGTCAGCTCGTCAACAACATCTTCAAACGCGCGAATGAGGCGAACGTACGATGCAGACGGGCGCACCTTGCGGCGCGTCTCGCTGTCCACGACAACGCCCCCAGCACCGTACACGCCATCATAAGACGGCACGCCATTGTCTGCGTCGCCATCGGCACGAGCGCCAGTATCAGCACGACCAGCAACACCATATTCACCGGGGCGCGTGGCGAGTTGTGGCAGGGAGCCGTTGGGAGGGCCGTGCAGGGCCCACTTGACCATGCGATTCCACATGAACGCGGTCCATGCGCTGTTATCGTCCATCCCGCCAACAGTAAAGTCCATGTACTGCTCGGGCAGGAACGGTGCGGGCTGCACCTCCACCGGATATGCGAGGGCACCGGCGTCCTCGATGGCGATGGTGGCGACCTTGAACAGCGCAGAGCAGCGGGCAATGGTGGACGCGTTGACGGTGCGGTTGACAAACTCCGGTGCATACTTGTAGATGTTGACGAGGTCCTGCACGGGAACGTACCAGTCGTTGGCGTGCAAAAAGGTGAGGTTGAGCTGGTATGCCGCCACAAACTCGCCGCCTGTGTCGCCCTCCGTGTGAGCAATATCGCACAGGTCACCAGTGCAGTTGTAGTTCTGCATGCCCATCGTGCGCAGGAAGCCCTGGCCGTGCGGGACCTGCGCCAGGCCATGCCAGTTGATGTCGGCAATGTAGTGGGAGGTCACGCCCAGGAGAAACACCACCAGCTTCTCCGTCTCCGCGGTCCACGGGCGCGGGAACTTGTCGTGGATGTATTTGGCTGCAGCTGCCTGGAAAGGAGGCCTGTTCAATCACAAGGGCACAAGCATGGTGGGAGGAGTGGATGAATGAGGGGGAGAGCGAGGGGAAGTGCACGTGAGCGTTTGGGAGAGGAAGGGGGGGGGGAGGTGAGGATGCAGAAGGCCGGGGATGTGCATTCGCAGGGTGTCGTGGTGTGTACAGTAGCGAGGCGTCTATATGTTTAGTTCCCGGGCGAGGACGGCAGCACACGTGTCAGTGCACCAAAATATCTCACCAGTGAGCGTCCTGAAGGGGTTGTAGTGGCGTGATGTGATGTGCAAAGGGAGGAACATTTGAAGCATGGTTGTGCAATTGGTTAGAAGCATGGTTGTAGTATTGTGTTGAAAATTACATGAGAGGGTCGGACAGAGATCGGAGCGTTGGACGATGGGGGTGTATGAGAGATGTGGGTCGAGCCACGGTTTAGTTGCGTGGATAAAACATGTGCAACCACAGTGAACTTGCTGACATGAGCGAACCTCGCCAGCGTTGTGGTCCGTTCCGCACGTGTACAAATAATCGGGGTAGGGGCTTCCACCCTACACAAAATGAAAACGAGCGCCCAAGAAGAGGGGGGGGGGGAGTGGTGTGATTAAAACAGACGAAGCAGCAACGCACGGTATAGACACCAACAAATCACACATCACCATCAACACACACACACACACACACACACACACACACACACACACACACACAGCCAACAGCACACGGTCAACAACAGCCACGGTGTTGTTCACCTGGAGCGCATCGAGGTGGCGCGCAATCATGTCCTCTGCATCAATGCCGTTGGTGTCCTTGAACCACTGGCGTGCGCGCTGGGCAATCACGTTGTGCGTTGTCATGCCACACGCAAGAGCCGCATGCTCTCGCACGTCCAGCACGCATGCCATGACCACCAGCACGGCCATCATCGCCGCCGCCGCAGCAGCGGCCACAGCACCCACACCTCGCACCACCATCGTTGATCGACGCAGCGAGTGGATTCGATTGTGGAAAATTGGTAGAAGATGTTCATGAAATCACCTGGATGCTCCGAACGCGATTGCAGCCAAGATGACATGCATGACGCGACCGCCAATCAATTCATTCTTTCGTCGCAACAGTTGACAAGCAGCCCACAGCCCATCGCACAACACACAACATAGCACAACACACCGCAACACGTTCGCGTTGCACACTAATTCATACGTAGGGACCACTTGGCACGATGACGAGCTTGAGTGAGATGGTTCGCCGCAGGTATCCTCACAAGAAGGATGACTTGGACGTGCTGCGAACATGTCAGGTGAGGCAAGGCCACGATGAGCGACCCCTACACTCCGGCAATGATTGCCATGACCGCGCGTCTCTCTCTCTCTCTCTCCCGTGACACATGACATTTGTTCCCCCTTCCTTCCTCACACACCTGCACACACACCTGCACACACACACACACACACACACACACACACACACACACACACACACACACACACACACACACACACACACACATACACACACACACACACACACACGCGCGCGCGCGCGCAGTGGAAGGCGGTGAAGGGAGGTGCGCTGGCATTTGTTGCCATGGGCGGCCTCGTGTTCCTGGGCGGTCGCACGTATGCCAGGCGGGTCGACCCAACGTTCCACCGTTACATCCTCGTCAGCAGCATCGGTGCGTATGTGCCACACAGACAGTGAGGGAAGGGTAGGCAAAGAGAGCGGGAGAGAGGGGGAGGGAAAGGGAGAACGACGTGGTTAGACGTACCTGCGCGCGTACATGTGCGCCCATGCACTTGTGTACGTTCACATTCTGTTTTGCTCACTGGGGAAGCGCGTTGTTGGTTTGGATTGACTCGCATGTATCGGGCGCCCACACAACATGGTTACGGCACACTCACAACCCGCTCTTCTGCGCGTGACTGCAGTGTCTGCATCGGTTGCCAGCGCAGCGACCTCCTTCACAGCGTCACAGGCGTGCTTGCATGAGGTGCGCGCCAAGAACCTGGCCAAGGCAGAGAAGATGAAGCAGGAACAGCAAGGCCAGCAAGGCCAATCTCTCGAAACACAGCACGCGCACCAAGAGCACGCCGGCCCACACGTGTCATCTGTATCACCTGCCACTGCAACGTCTCTATTGGGACCACAACAGCAGGGCAGCGCAATATCGCCAGCAGTGGCGCACAACACAAGCACGCACGTGCAGCACACATCACCACACCATGGGGGCGGGAGCCAACAGCACAGCAGCAGCGACGCCACTAGCACAGACTTGACTCACGCATAGCAGGATGCAGAGACAACGGAGGAGACACGGGCAGAGATGGATGGAAGGACGACATCTGCACAAGCACACACACACACACACATACTCAAAAGCATTGACAGCTACTACAAAGAAGGGGGAGGGTGAAGGGAGAAAGGGCCACAGACAGGAGCATCAGGGGCACGTGGCGTGGTGTGTGCTCAGCGGTACATGGAGTTGAAGGCGCGGCCGATGAGAAGGCGGCGGATCTCGCTCGTGCCGGCACCAATCTCGTACAGCTTGGCATCGCGCATGATGCGCCCAGTCGGGTAGTCGTTGATGTACCCGTTGCCGCCTGTGGTAGTGGAATGGGGAGAGGGGTTGTATTTGTGTCATGTTTGTGAGAGCAGGATACGTGAGAGAGAGTGTGTGTGTTGTGTGTTGTGTGCGTGTTTGTTGTGTGTGTGTGTGTGTGTGCGTGCGCAATGTGTGTGTGTGCAAAATGTGCGTGCGCAATGTGTGTGTGTGTGTGTGCGTGCGTGCAAAATGTGTGTGTGTGTGTGAGTGAGTGGGTGTGTGTGCAATATGTGTGTTGTGGTTGGTGCCTGGTCGTACGGTGGGACACTGTATTGGCTACTGTGCTTACCGAGGCACTGGATGGCGTCGAGGGCAACCTTGGTGGCGGCCTCGGCAGAGTAAAGAATCACACCAGCACAGTCCTGCAACAAGAAATGGCAAGAGGAAGACGACATGGGTGGAAATGAGGAGGTGAAGCAAGGAGGGGGGAGGGGGAAACAGGGCAACCAGGTCTTGGAAAGTAGACACACACACACACACATACACACAAAGCACAAAGGCCAGACAGACAGCAACATGGACAAATACACACACACACACATGGCGCACCGACCTTGCTCTCGACAATGCCCTTGTCGCACTTCTTGGCGACGGAGTAGACATATGCGCGGTTGGCGCTGAGCGTCGTGTACATGTCAGCCAGCTTGGCTTGCATCATCTGCCACAGGCAAGCAGTCGCCATGGGAGTGGTCGGTGGTGGTTTCGTTGGTGTCAGCGTTGTTGCATGGTTTTGGCACGTTGAGGGCAGCAGGCGCCAAACACAACGAGCGTGTGTGAGGACAGCGGAACGTGAAGCAAGCGCTTCCGGCAGCAAGGTGATGACGCGTTGTGCTGATCACGGTGGTGGTGGTGGACATGGATATGTACGCACCTGGAAGGTACCGATGGGCTTGCCAAACTGCTTGCGCTCGTGCACGTAATCAAAGGACACATCAACAGCGGCCTGGTTGGGGGGGGGGAATGGTGGTGTGAGCGCGTGAGCGCACGAGGTGGCGGAGGCGTGGAAGCACGCAGGTGGCAGGGGAGCGCGCGCGCATGTGTGTGTGTGTGTGTGTGTGTGTGTGTGTGTGCGTGCGTGCGTGCATGATTGTACCTGCATGAGGCCGAGTGGGCCGCCGGCGAGGACGAGGCGCTCAAGATCGAGACCAGACATGAGCACATACACGCCCTTGTTCACCTCGCCAAGCACATTCTCTGCACACAGGCGCAGGCAACCGTGCTTGCAAAGTGAGGGAGCGTTCTGGTTCACAACACAACACAACACAGCACAACAAGTGCACACCCTCGCAGACCCACCTCACACCCCAACACAACCAACAATCACCCACGCCATTGCATCAGGGGTGACGGCGCGCGCGCGTGTATGCGTGTGCGCGCGTGGGTGTGCGTTTACCCTTTGGGACGCGGCAGTTCTCGAAAACAAGCTCGCACGTGTTTGAGCCACGCATGCCAAGCTTGTCAAGCTTCTGCGCAGTGCTGAATCCTTCAAAGTCCTGGCAGCGGTGGTCGAAAAGGGAGAAAAAAAAAGGGGGGGGGGAGGGAGAAATGAGGAGGAAATACATGTGTAAGCAATGGCAGACAAATAGGCAGACGCACGCAGGCAAACACAGACACAGACACACACACACACCAACGCATACACAGACACACAGACACACCAACACACGCACACACACACCAAGGCACACACAGTGACGCGGCCGGGCGCCTGTACCTTCTCCACGAGGAACGCGGTGATGCCGTGCTGGTGTGCGCTCATATCTGTCTTTGCGTAGACGACGAGCACGTCGGCGTCGGGGCCGTTGGTGATCCAGAACTTGTTGCCGTTCAGCACATACGAGTCGCCTGTGGTGGCGGTGGTTGTTTGTTGTTTGTTGTTGTTGTTGGTTGTTGTTATTGTTGTTGTTTTTGTTGTTGTTGGTGTGAATGAATTGGCACCATGAGACGAGGAGAGGATGTTAGGGGCGAGTAAGAGCGTGGGCACATTGATGAGGGGAAACATAGGGAAGCACAATACCGCCATCAAACAAAAGCGCAGTATCAGCAGCGACAACTGGGGGTGTACATGCACTCTCATTACAACCACAGCACCACAGCACCACAGCACAGCACCACCGCCACCACCACCATCACTATCACTGCCACGACGACTGACCGTCCTCCTGTGCACGGAGCTGCATTGAGACGACGTCCGAGCCAGAGCCGGGCTCCGACATGGCCAGCGCACCCATGTGCTCGCCAGAGATGAGCTGGTGCACACGCAAGGCAAGGAGGAGAGGTGAGTGAGTTGGTGTTTGTGGTGGTGATTGCGGTGCAGCGAGAGCGTAAACCAGACCAGCACATTGTTGACATTGACACGCAGACACGAAACACACATACACACAGACAGACACACAGGCCGTGCACCTTGGGCAGGTACTTCTGCTTCTGCTCCTCGTTGCCGTTGCGAACAATCTGGTTCACGCACAGGTTGCTGTGAGCACCTGCACACGCAAATCAAAAGGCAGATGCAAGTATTGTGAGCACGTACGCATGCAAGCAGGAAAGTATTCCGTATTTGCGTGTGTGTGTGTGTGTGTGTGTGTGCGTGCAATAATTGTGGCGCAAGAGCATGACTGTACACGCAGCAAAACTGACCGTAGGAAAGAGCAATGGAACCAGAGGCGCGGGAGAGTTCCTCCATGGCAATCACGTGCTCCGTGTAGCCAAGGGCAGAGCCACCATATTCCTCTACAAACACACCACGCACGTGCGTACGTGAATGGAACACACAAATGCTCAACGTGGAAACAGACACACACACACACACAGACACAGACACACACACAGACACACAGACACACACACACACAGACACACAGACACAGACACAGACACACACACACACACACACACACACACACACACACACACACACACACACACACACGACGCGAGCGTTGAGCGCAGGACGGCGCATACCAGGTGCGGTGATGCCAAGAAGGCCAAGGTCACCCAGCTTCTTCCAGAACTCCTGTAAAACGTTAAACAAAGGGAGCAACGAACGGCAACCACAAGTGAACAGGGAGAGGAGGAGGAAGAAGAAGAGAAGACAGAAAGGGAGGGAGAAGGAGAAGAGAGAAGCACAAGAACAAGAACAAGAACAACAACAACAACAAGAACAACAACTACAACTACAACGACCACAACAACTACAACAACAACTACAACTACAACGACCACAACAAGACGACGACGCACCCGAAGGTTGTCCCAGCCGTTGTTCTTGTCAATGTCCTGCGCATAGGGGGCAAGCTCTTGCTGCGCAAACTTGTTGATTGTCTCCTTGAGCTGTCATTTCGAAACGACAAACAATCGAACGCACACAAACAAACACACACACACACACAATACGCACACACACACACACACACACACACACACACACACACACACACACACACACACACACACACACACACACACACACACACGTTCATGGTCAGCCATATGAGGTAACAACGCGACATGTCAAGGAGGGCACCCTTAATAAAGGGTTTGTGCTTCCGTTGGCGTGTTTGGTTTTGGTTGGTGCGGTGGTGTGTTGCAATTCATGTCACAACACGCGCATGAGCGCCTTCGATCGCCGCCACCACATCATCCAAGTTTACCTACCTCGAGTTGGGTGTCGGTGAGGTCGCTCACGGTGTCTGTCATCATGGAGCGCACGCCGGCCCAGGGTGCGCCTCCGCGGTTGGCGGCACCCACGGCCGCAGCGGCCACAACGCCGCCAGTGCGAGCAGCGCTCACGCCAGCACGAACAAGTACACCAGCCACCATCATCTTGGGTCTTAGTGTGGAGGAGCTGCAAGCAAAGCAAAAAAAATTGCAGGCACTTTGGGAATCAGGTGAGCGGCCGGTTTCACGTTTGAACTTGAATTTCAGGCGGGCGCACGCACGGTGACTTTTGCGACATCACATGGTGTAGCCACATTTCTCTCTCGCTCGCGACCGCCGCTGTCTCAGTTGTCTGCTGCTTCCACACTGTCTTCACTTCTGCCTCCTCTCGTTGCCTTGTCTTGCCCGACCTCACACACACACGCATACGCACACCATGAGTGGAAAGGCGCTGGTTGAGGGCATGATTTCGCCCAACAAGGCTGTTGCCAGGACACGTGTGATTGGTCTCTACAGGGCCTGGTTCAGATCGGTGCGTGCGCATTTGCGTCTGAGGTTGTTGTTGGTGTTGGTGGTGTTGTTTTGCAGTGCAAGTTGTTTTTGTGCAGTGTGGAGTGCGTGCGGGTGTGCACTTGTGTGTTTGTGTGTTTGTATTGGACTGAGAGTACCGCTGTTTCCACAAAGGAATAGCCACACACACACACACACACACACACACACACACATTCGTTGGTCTCGTGGCTTCCTCTTCATGCACACAGATTCCCGAGATTATCCAAATCTTCCGTTTGGAAAAGACGCCACAGGAGTGCAGGGACAAGGTACAACTACCCATGCGAAGCTGTGCATACTATATTGTTCATCGTGTTTTGTGTGACCTGTGTGTGTGTGTGTGTTTGTGTGTACACGCATGTTTCATCTTTCCCACTCCCACTTGCCCTCCTACTCCCCCTCCCTCCCACTCCTTCCTCGTCTCTCTCTCTCTGTTTGACTCTGTGTTGGTCTCACCCTGCTTTGTTATCTTGTTTCCCGCCCCGTGCAGCTGAAGGAGAAGTTCATGGTGAACAAGGACGTGGACGACGTGCGCGTGATTGACATGCTCACCATTAAGGTATTGTGTTGTGTGTGTGTGTGTGCGTGTGCGTGTACACAAAGGATGCGGGCGTTTGCGAACGAAACGCAAGGGTTATGACACGGAGACATGGCGTTTGTTTCGGCTTTGGGTGGCTTACAACATCACCGCACGTGTGTGTATGTGCAGGGTCAAATGGAATTGGATGAGACCATGAAGGTGTGGAAACAAAAAACGCACGTGATGCGCTTCTGGGAAGACCCCGCGGTACGTCTTTCGTCGACATTGTGTGTGTGTGTGTATGTACTCGTGCGTATGTGTATGCACTCGTGCGTCTGAGTGTGTGTGTGTGTGTCTGTGCGTGCATGCGTTCGCATGTAAGTGAATGTAATCGTGCATGTGTGTGCGTCGTGCATGTGTGTGCATGTTCGTGTCAGGTTTGATGACGGCCTTGTGGCGACACCTCCCCTCACCTCACCTCACCTCACCTCTTCCTTCCCTTCCCTCTCTCTCCCTCCCCCCCCCCATTCCCACCACATCCTTGCTCACCCTCCTCCTCCCATTGCCACAACAGGGTCCCAAGCCCCAGCCCACCTTCCTCGAGAAGTTCCTCAAGGGCCGCTGAGGCGCGAGAAAACAACAGCAACAATAACAACAGCAGCAGCAGCAGGAAGAGGAGGCGGAGGAACAGGAGCGGTGATGGCGCTTTCCCATATGGATGTGCCATCACATCGCTTGGTGCTGTCTGCGTGTGGATGTGAGTGTGTGTTTGATAAGGAAGCGAGTGCGTTTTGAGCGGAGGTGTGGTGCCAGTGTGGGCGTGGTGCGTGTTCTAGGACGCAAGAAGAATTCAAGTGCAAGAGGTGCTGTGGTTATGGTGGGTTCCTTGACTGCGTGTGTGTGTGTCGTGTGCGTGTGTCGTGTGCGTGCGTGCGTGCGTGCGTGCGTGCGTGCGTCATGTGTGTTCTGTGGGTGTGCAGCCTGCCATCCTTGGAACGAATGAACATGTGGGAGCGAGCAAGGACTCAATGAAGCAAGAGAAGGAGAATGAAGGAAAGAAAGGGTGTGTGGATGGAATTAAGAAATGGAGGGATGGGAACGACCATCAATCGTCACCAACAACAACACAACAATCGGCACCAAAACAACAACGGAAACGCACGACTGACCGCTGCTGCCCTCCCTGCTGCTGCTGCTGTTGCTGCTGTTGCTGCTGTTGCTGCTGACTCCACCAGGAGCAGACCGCACATACACACACGCGAGCACCAGCACAAACACATCGTCATGGCAGACGACAGCGTACAAACCATCAAGGTGGTGGTTGTCGGTGATGGATCCACGGGGAAGGTGCGTATGTGTGTCTGTGTGTCTGTGTGTCTCTGTATGCGTGCATGAGTGGTGCGCATGCAAGTGTACTTGTGTGTACATCTCGTGCGACAGACAGACAGACAGACAGACACACACGCACACAACATCAGCCATCCCCCCCTTTCTCTTTGCGGAGCACTCCGCCAAGTTGATATGACACGATGCCTGTGATGACAAGATCTAACACCATGTACGAATGCACGAATACAGACGTCCATCATCACACGGTACTGCCAAGACGCGTTTGCACCCGCCTACAACCAAACCGTTGGCCTGGACTTTTTCCTCAAGCGCGTCGACCTTCCAAGTGTGTGCATGTGCGTGCGTGCGTGCGTGAGTTGTGCGTGTGCGTGTGTGTGTGGATATGTGTGTGCATGTGCCTCTTCTCGCCTGTTGTGGCATTTCTCCGCTTCTTCTGCCTCTGTCCCTTGTCCGCGCCTACCTCTTCCCTCTCCAACTTCCACCCCCCGCCCCGCCTCACCCGCCTCACGTATCCAATGATACACGGGCAGAGGACAAACACGTAACCATGCAGTTATGGGACGTTGGTGGTCAGAGTATTGGCGGCAAGATGCTGAAGACATACCTGGAGAACGCACAGGTGTGAGGTCTTCGTGCGTTACCATGCCTTCCCTTGCGAGCGAGCAAGCAAGCTTGCTTGCCCCGCCCGTTTGCACGCATCTCCCCCCCCCCCCCACACACACACACAGTTGCATTCGTCACCCCACCACCCCCTCCCTACCGATTACCATTCAATGATTCACCGCGTAGCCCCTGTGCTTCCCAACACCGTACTCACTAAACCATCCACCCCCAACAATACATGCGCGCACGTCCACGCGACCAGGTGGTGCTGTTTGTGTACGACATCTCCAACCGCGAGAGCTTTGAGAACCTCAATGACTGGCGGGCCATTGTCACAAAGACATTTGTGGACAAGCCAAAGAAGCCAAAGTGTGCCCTCGTCGCTAACAAAGGTCGGTGACGCGCTGGTGTTTGTCCCCCTCCCCCTCTCTCGCTCTTCAACAAGTTCTCATTGTAACGCCTCACCACCTTTGTTCTGTGCCCCACCTCTTGTCACGGTCACTCACATCTCTACCTCCATGCACGCCACTGCCTTCTCTTCCGCACACGCTCGCTGCCAACCAACCACCACAACACGCACAACACCCACGACGACGACGACGACGACGACGACGTCGACGACGACGATGTCCACCACCAACAACCCCAACAAACAACACACAACAACGATGCCCCAACACACACACACACACACACACACACACACACACACACTCACTCACAACAACAACAACAACGATACCACCACCACGACCACCGCCGACCAGTTGATCTCGAGCACCAGCGTGCCGTCTCCCCCGCCCTACATGCCCAGCGCTGCAATAACTCGGGCTGGATGTCCTTCCACGTCTCCGCCAGAAACTCAAAGGCGGTGCGTGCACGCGTGCGCATGTGCGCTTGCTGGAGGCCAAGCGTGATTCAGATATGGTGTAGTTTGAGCTTGTATTGTTGCTGTTGTTGTCGCCGTTGGCTGTTGGCTGTTGGCCGTTGGCTGTTGGATGCATGTAAGCGGCCGCTGTGACCCGTGGCCTTTGGTGTGCATGTGCTCACCAAGCAACCAAGCAGCTTCACCGCACGCAGCAAACACCCAAGCAAGCACCTTTGCAACCACAACCCCATCGCTCCTCCACTCACTTGCCACTCCACCCACCCACCTCCCCTTCCCTCAACCCACAACCCCCTTTTTTCTTCCCTCCCCTGTTCACATTGGCCTTGGTGGCTGCGCGCGCGCGTGTGTGTATGCGTGCGTGCGTGCGTGCGTGCGTGCGTGTGTGTGTGTGTGTGTGTGTGTGTGTGTGTGCGTGCGTGTGTGTGTGTGTGTGTGTGTGCCAGATTGAGCTCATGTTCCGCGAAATCATTGCGGAGATCACCGGTGTGAGCGTTTCCCAGCAGGAACAGGAGGCCGTCAGGGTGAGCGCGTGCTTGTGTGTGTTTGTGCGTGTTTGTGTGTTTGTGTGCGCTTGCATGTTCATGTTCATGCGGGTTGCAGCAGCCTTCTTACACACACACATGCACAACCGACATTGTGCTTGCAGTTGAAAGCGGTGACGACGTCCATCCCTGTACAGAGCCATGCGGAGCGCGAGAGCGTGGCAAGCCTTGGACAGCAGGCAGATGCTTCCCCGACACGAAAACCCATCAAGTCACAGTCCAACACATCAGGGTTCTGCTCTCTCCAGTAGCAGCGTGCCCTCTTACGTTACACGACTCTAACGACCGCCACAGCAATGTCAAGCGAGCAACAACCGTTATTCCTCGCCTTTTTGCTGTTGCTTCTTGCTCTGCCTGACCTTTGTACATTTTCTTTGTGTGTGTGTGTGTGTGTGTGTGTGTGTGTGTGTGTGTGTGTGTGTGTGTGTGTGTGTGTGTGTGTGTGTGTGCTTGTGTGTGTGTGTGTGTGTGTGTGTGTGTGTGTGTGTGTGTGTGTGTGTGTGTGTGTGTGTGTGTGTGTGTGTGTGTGTGTGTGTGTGTGTGTGTGTGTGTGTGTGCTTGTGTCTTGCTTGCCTGACTTGGCTGGCTTGTCTCCTCTCACTTTGCCGAATGTCATAAAAAGATTTCCACCAAATATCTACATTTCCCACCGCGCCGCGCGTTTTGGCCCAAACGCAACGCATGCTGTGCTTGAAGCCACTCTTGTTGTTCTACACATGTCCATCCCATCCATCAACACGAGCGCCTCTCCTCTCCCAGTATCATCATCATCATCATCATCATCATCATCACTGCCATCAGCCACTCAGCGGCAATACCCACACGTAGGATATCTGTCTCTGCTGTGTAACATGGCGGGGTCGTCAGTGCCGGCCTCGCAACCTGCACCAGCAACCGTTGTTCCAACCACACCAACTACAACAGGATCCACAGCGACATCAGACGATGCCACGCCACACACATCGTCATCATCCTCAGCATCGTCTCGGTTCACATGCGACATATGCGGGAAGGACTATGCACATGTAGGTTCTAGTGTGTGTGTGTGTGTGTGTGTGCGTGTGACACTTTGGTTCGTTTGGTTGATGTTCGTTTGTGGCTTCTGATGCTTTCGACTGTTGCCTTGCGGCTGCAACAACTCCTCCCTCGCGTCGTGTCCGATCCTGCGGACTCCTTGGCGTGGTGGTGTGCTGTCCTTCCTGCTCCTGATCCCATTTCCACGGTCTCATGCTTGTTTGTCTCCGCATTGCTTTGCTCAACACATGTTTCCCCAGAAGCGAAATCTATGGCGACACAAGCAGCAGACCCACTTTGGGAAGCAGACCACGTTCCCGTGCCCATTTCCAGGCTGCTCCTCCACCTTCACCCGAAAGTCCGACTTGCGCGTCCATGAGCGCGTGCACACTGGCGAACGGCCGTACCAGTGCTGCATATGCTCAGCCACTTTTGTCCGCAGCAGCGACTATCGCGTCAGTGGACACACGTGTGCATGCATATGCGTGTGCGTGTGATTGCATGCGTGTACGTGTGGGTGCTGACATGCATGCGTGCGTGCGTGTGTGTGTGCTTGCATGCTTTCGAGGTATTCACAAGGCACGGGTCCTGCTTTCCACCGTACCTTACTCAAGCAACGCTTTTGGCAACAC